ATTATATATATAATATCCTTTGGTAATATTTAAGCATATTTCTTACGTAATTATTATCTTATGTAATTCAATTGGAAAAAAATTAGTTTGCACATGCATAAAATATCCATAATTAGCATGTGCTGTTTAAATTAATTGAAACTAAATATGCATATAATCAATGTGCAAAACTACGATAGATGATGGTGTTAGGTGGGAAGAGCATTAGAGAAATTAAGATAAAAAGTGAAGTTCTCCATTAGGTTTTTAACAGCAAAAGTGTTACATTGCTCTTATTTCATACCACAAGTCTTTAAATACACTCACCCTCAATCACAAGCAAGTTAAGTGTAATTTTCCATTTTTTAAAATCAAAACTGATACATACTATCTTAGAAAAATATATTTGTCTCTCTTAAAATATAAAAAATTGAATAGTAAATTAAGATAAATTCTGAATAAAAAATTGTATTATTCTTAAATAATAAAGTATATGAAGCTATATAATATAAATATAATTCTGATAGTGTAATAATATATAAATTGGGGTAAAGATGCATTAAACCAAAGAGATAAAAGAATTTCTTTTATTTGATCAGACCAATTCAATGATTATTGATAACTTCAAATCCCACTTCAATTCAAAGTTACATAAAATAATAACTATATGCAAATCCATATTTAGAAATTAATTTAGAGTGTCTAAAATAATACCTATGCAAATCCATATTTAGAAAACAAATCTCACAAGGACTCTAATTCTTTATAAAATTCAAGGCGAAATCCAACAAGGGATTCATAGAGATTTTCTTGTCAAGTTAGAATTAAATTTAGAAACAAAATCTCACAAGGTGTCACGCCCCAGAACCCAAATCCGGAGACGTGGCAGATGCCGTGCACTCGTGAGACGGGTCCCACAAGTGCACAAGGCTCGGAACTTAATCATATCACAAACTAATACCATAAAAATCTGAAGATCAAATTATAAAATTTCTCCGATATCATAAATCTCCAAATACACTTTAGCTTACAAGATCATGATTTATTTCTAAAATCTATATCAATCTCGAAATGGCTAGCTTTCTAACTCGTCACTTCCCGTGGTTTCTCTGTCCTCGGTTTCACTTCCTGAAATGGTGGACAAAAAAAAACTATGAGATAAACTCAGTAAGTAAACATGGAGTGCCCTTAATTAAACTTATAGCATGCCAACATGTGCAATCACGAAAAACGGATACAATACGGGAACGAAATAGACGTCTCCTCTATAGGTCATGGCCAGCGTCTAACACCCACTGGCAGGCGCACTGTTTGCTGGTGTATAATTCCCACAAGCAGGGTCACTGTTTGCTGGTGTATAACCCCCACAAGCAGGGTCACTCAACGAACCGATTCTATCAATAACATGTCGACATGTACTAGCGTTTATAACCTCCCCCACTAACAGGGTCACTAATAACATGACCACATCGGAGACAAAACAGGCAGAAGTTAACAGGAAAATCACAATTCAAAATCACTTTCAGATCATCAGGACAGTCACTTAAATTTCAAGTAGGCATGCTCAATTTAATGAAAAGCATAAAACATTTCACTTCAAATCACTCATACTTGTGTAAAACAGGTTTAGTCCCGCCACCACTTCAAAAACAAATCGAAACATGCTTTTAAAATCGAAGGGCGTTACCATAATCTACTTACCTCACTCCGCAAAACCGAGCACTCAATTCACGTACTAAACTAACAGAACGATCGAGAACCTAATCAAAATACCTTCGAATTAATACCGGACTATCACAAATTCAAACTGAAATCATCATTAAGATCACTCTTAATCCCCGATGCTATTCCTATCAATCTCCACATGATCAAATATCTCCAAATTCGTTCTTATATCACAAACTAATCACTTAAATCCCCGTTAATTGTTGGCCCTCGGTGTGTGAACAGTGTTCGGTGAACAGTACCACGACGTGAACAGTAACTCTACTTCCACAAATTGGCCAAAACACTAACTAATTCACGGGATTTTCTCCAAAAATCACACAGCAGACAATTAACACTCAATCACATAAATCCCACTTAAATTTATACTTAAACTTCATCCTAAAGCTACCGGAATTATCCCCAAATTTTCTATCAAATTCGGACAACACAGCCAGCAAACTATATGGATAAATTTCAAGCTTAAACGGCTGTCACATACCATAATTCTCCAGCTAAAACCGGAGCTGCAGATTGGGGGAAGGCCGGCGGCATGGAAGAAGAAAGCTCACGGGCTACCCAAAAATTGAAGGAACCAAGAGCAATTAACATAAACCCAAGCCAATTCAAGC